TAAAATAAACCTGGTTTACTTCATAAGATTTATTCACTACAAACTTGTTTCGTATGACAAGCAATGCTTGCCACACTCAACAGGTGAATTTAAAAAAATAATAATTAATTAATAAATAATAATTAATTAATAATAATAATTAATAATAATTAATAATAATTAATAATAATAATTAATAATAATTAATTAATTAATTAATTTTATTTTTTAATTATTTTTTTTTTTTTTTTTAAATTCACCTGTTGAGTGTGGCAAGCATTGCTTGTCATACGAAACAAGTTTGTAGTGAATAAATCTTATGAAGTAAACCAGGTTTATTTTATCTTTATCTATATTAGCTCTATACTTCGGTATATCGAGCACTCTACTCATATATGATTCTAAATACATATTTTGTATATATATATATATATATATATATATATATATATATATATATATATATATATATATATATATATATATATATATATATATATATATATATATATATATATATATATATATATATATATAGGAAGAAATGTTCTCGAGTGAGATATATCGTAATTCAATCCAGACAGCGCGCAGTTCGAGTTACTAGATCGATGCTCTACCAACTGAGCTACACAGTCAGGACGAATTGAAGACTGGAAATTACGAACTATATACTTTTTCTGCCTTCGCGCTGTCTAGAAATTACGATAAATATCTCACTCGAGAACATTTCATCCGTATCATATTACCGAGTAAACAATAACACAAATTAATATAACACTTGCAGAACTAGTATGTTCGATGCTAGATTAATATAAACGAGTATGTTTATGACAATCAGTATATAGTTCGTAGTTTTCAGTCAATTCGTCCTGACCGTGTAGAGCATCGATCTACTAACTCCAAGGTCGCGGGATGTAGAGCATCGATCTACTAACTCGAAGGTCGCGGGTTCGAAGCCCAGCCGCGGCAGGCAAAGTGTTCCGCCTGCGCGCTGTCGGACACTATTTAGCTATGTACAGATATACTACTATTATATGTTAATTAACTACATATAAATATTAGACATGCAATACTTTTCAATTACTAATTGCTGCATAGTGCACAATTCCGACAGTTTTCAATCATAAGAAAATCTATATTAATCTAATAATTCATGAGAGGAAAACAAAATCGTGGGCATGTCGTATCTTTATATGTGATGGCGACAACGTATTTTTTGAAAATTACTTCGCCAATGACTTACTTAATCGATCGTTTTTGAAGCAATTTAAAACATTCGCAGTGCGTGTTTTATCAGACCTAAAGATACTCGCCTTCACCTCGTATCTTTATATCTGATAAAACACTGCTGCCCATGTTTTAAATAGTGAATCAAGTCACCTCACGTAGTATCTGGTGGTATGCACAATGGCAGCCCATGCATTTTGAAATGATTAATTAATACTGTTCCTGGCATTGAATTTCTTGTCAGGTAGCCGTTCGGCTCAGCCAATCAGCGCGTGGCGGCATCCCTTCGGTCCCTGGATGGGGGGTGTTCTACTACTCCCATGACCATGCTCATATATATTAAAAAAATCCTGCATACTCATAAGCACGGCATAATAATGATATCATACATGCCTATTTTCGGCAAAACGAGATACATATATATATATGGAGCTCACTAGGGAACGCGGGGGGGGGGGGGGGGGGGGGGGCTAAGCCACCTGATTCCCGCTTCCACTACATCGCTGCTATATAGATGATCAAAATCAGATGTCACGAAACGGCACAAAACAAAGCATTGTTGTATAATTTTCTTAGGGATGTTTGCCACTCTACTTTGCTTTACCGTCTACGCACTGTCCTTACTTCATGCCAAACCCGTAACAAATGACCCTGCTCCCAACTTTCTCCCTGCCACTTTTCCTGCAACTACACCGAGACCACTGGGGTGCGAGGTCAACGGGAAGTTCTACTCGCCCGGAGAAATAATTAGCTCAGAAATTGACAAGCAGTTTGGGTGGTGTCACGGTACATATTGCAGCGAAGATGGTAATGTGATTCCGTGGGATGATTTTAATTGTGGTGCTACTACTCCACTCCTTCCAGCAACAACAGCTCCTTTTCCTACCACACCAAAGACAACCACGCCACGGACCACAACACGACAAACTACCACACAACGAGCCACCACGTCAAGGATTAGTACACCGCTTACCACATTCCCTCCAGCTACAACTCCGCCGAGACCACTGGGGTGCGAGGTCAACGGGAAGTTCTACTCGCCTGGAGAAATAATTAGCTCAGAAATTGACAAGCAGTTTGGGTGGTGTCACGGTACATATTGCGGCGAAGATGGTAATGTGATTCCGTGGGATGATTTTAATTGTATCAATACAACCATCCCCGCTGAAGCTTCAACTACTCCCGAACCATCGTCTACACCTCCCTCACCCATAACCACTTCATCGTATTCTTCAGCTATTGTTGAAGAGGCTAGTACTCTTTCCCCTCGGGCAACAACTGCGTATACAACTGTTCCACGACGCTTAGGATGTGAATATGAAGGCAAATTTTACGCCCCCGGGACAGAAATAAGTAAAGGATCAGACGGTCGCGGGCGGTGTTACGGTTTAATCTGCACTGATGATGGTAATATAACGCCTTGGGACGATTTCAATTGTGGTGCTACCACGTCTCCCCCAATCACAGCCTCTCATCCTTCTCCTACAACAACGCCAAGTACTGCTAGAAGGAAAAGCACACCAAAAACTACCAAACCTCAATATAGTAGTACACCACAGACTACAAGACAATCAGGCTGCGAGTACGAAGGCAACTTTTATTCCCCTGGTGCGAGCTTTGGTGAAGGAACTGACGGAGAGGGATGGTGTTATGGTTTATATTGTGATTATGATGGTAATGTGATTCCGTGGGATAATTTTGAATGTGGTACTTCTACCCCTCTTCCATCAACCACTGCTCCTTTTCCCACCACTACCTTCCCTCTACCTACAACTGTGCCGAAATCACTAGGATGCGAGGTCGATGGGAAATTTTATTCACCAGGTGAAGAAATTAGCTCAGAAATTGACAAGGAGATTGGGTGGTGTTATGGTACATACTGCGGTGAAGATGGTAATGTGATTCCATGGAATGATTTTAATTGTGGTACTACTACCCCCCTTCCAGCAACAACAGCTCCTTTTCCTACCACAACAAAATCAACTACACCACGAACCACCACACCACGAACCACCACGCCAATGACTAGTACACCACTTACCACCTTTTCTGTCCCTACAACTGCACTGGGATGCGAGGTCGATGGGAAATTTTATTCACCAGGAGAAGAAATTAGCTCAGAAATTGACAAGGAGATTGGGTGGTGTTATGGTACATACTGCGGCGAAGATGGTAATGTGATTCCGTGGAATGATTTTAATTGTGGTGCTACTACTCCCCTCCTTCCAGCAACAACAGCTCCTTTTCCTACCACAACAAAACCAACTACACCACGAACCACCACGCCAATGACTAGTACACCACTTACCACCTTTTCTGTCCCTACAACTGCACTGGGATGCGAGGTCGATGGGAAATTTTATTCACCAGGAGAAGAAATTAGCTCAGAAATTGACAAGGAGATTGGGTGGTGTTATGGTACATACTGCGGCGAAGATGGTAATGTGATTCCGTGGAATGATTTTAATTGTGGTGCTACTACTCCCCTCCTTCCAGCAACAACAGCTCCTTTTCCTACCACAACAAAACCAACTACACCACGAACCACCACGCCAATGACTAGTACACCACTTACCACCTTTTCTGTCCCTACAACTGCACTGGGATGCGAGGTCGATGGGAAATTTTATTCACCAGGAGAAGAAATTAGCTCAGAAATTGACAAGGAGATCGGGTGGTGTTATGGTACATACTGCGGCGAAGATGGTAATGTGATTCCGTGGAATGATTTTAATTGTGGTACTACTACCCCGCTTCCATCAACCACTACCCCTTTCCCAACCACACCAAAGACAACTACACCACGAACCACCCCACCACGAACTACCACGCCAATGACTAGTACACCACTTACCACCTTTTCTGTCCCTACAACTGCACTGGGATGCGAGGTCGATGGGAAATTTTATTCACCGGGAGAAGAAATTAGCTCAGAAATTGACAAGGAGATTGGGTGGTGTTATGGTACATACTGCGGCGAAGATGGTAATGTGCTTCCGTGGAATGATTTTAATTGTGGTACTACTGCACCTCTTCCAGCAACAACAGCTCCTTTTCCTACCACACCAAAGGCAACTACACCACGAACCACCACACCACGAACCACCACACCACGAACCACCACACCACAAACCACCACGCCAATGACTAGTACTACACTTACCACCTTTTCTGTCCCTACAACTGCACTGGGATGCGAGGTCGATGGGAAATTTTATTCACCAGGTGAAGAAATTAGCTCAGAAATTGACAAGGAGATTGGGTGGTGTTATGGTACATACTGCGGGGAAGATGGTAATGTGATTCCGTGGAATGATTTTAATTGTGGTACTACTACCCCCCTTCCAGCAACAACAGCTCCTTTTCCTACCACACCAAAGACAACTACACCACGAACCACCACACCACGAACCACCACGCCAATGTCTAGTACACCACTTACCACCTTTTCTGTCCCTACAACTGCACTGGGATGCGAGGTCGATGGGAAATTTTATTCACCAGGTGAAGAAATTAGCTCAGAAATTGACAAGGAGATTGGGTGGTGTTATGGTACATACTGCGGCGAAGATGGTAATGTGATTCCATGGAATGATTTTAATTGTGGTACTACTAACCCGCTTCCATCAACCACTACCCCTTTCTCAACCACACCAAAGACAACTACACCACGAACCACCACATCACGAACCACCACGCCAATGACTAGTACACCACTTACCACCCTTTCTGTACCTACAACTGCACTGAGATGCGAGGTCGATGGGAAATTTTATTCACCAGGAGATGAAATTAGCTCAGAAATTGACAAGGAGATTGGGTGGTGTTATGGTACATACTGCGGCGAAGATGGTCATGTGATTCCGTGGAATGACTTTAATTGTGGTACCATAACCCATACCGTACCTTCGAGCACTCCTCCCCCACGTATAACCACAGAGATACGATCTACGCCCAGAACGTCAACAACACCTGAGCCTTCTAAAGAAATTCTACCATCTACTTCAAGCCCCAAAACACCCACTCTTACAAGTGCTTTACCTCCTTCTACCCCTCAATCTATTGGTTGGTGCTTCTTTGAAGGGAAATATTTCGAAAATGGTGATACTATTTCACGTATAGACTTCGGCTGGGGTTGGTGTTCGGGTTGGTATTGCAATGATGGAAAGGTTGATTCTTGGACCCGTTATGACTGCCCTAATCCTACTACAGTGTCAAAGTCCACACCAAGCGCCCCTAGTTTGCAATGTTACTACCAGGGGATATATTATAACGAGGGTGAAGTAGTAGTTCCTTTTGAGGGGAGCGGAGATTGTGAGGGCATGTATTGTAGCGGTGGGGTGCTTGTCCCATACGAGGGTAGAGACTGCGGTAGCACAAAACAAACTAACCCACCTACCACAGAGCCAAGTCCCAAACCGGTTTTCTCAACAAACACAGTCATCCCCGAACCATCGCGATGTCTTCACGAAGGACGGTATTACGAACAGGGTGATTTGGCCCCGAGTGGGGACAATTGGTGTGCTGGGTTGATATGTAAAGATGGAAAGATGATATCGTGGGAAAATTGTGAGGTGAAGATCGAAACCACCAACATACCTGTTACAGACGCCAGTAACGCAACTGACTCAACCCTTGCCCAATCTACAATCCTTAGTTCGATAACCAACCCCACTTCCGACAGTACAACTACCACTAAACCCTCTGAAAAGCGAACAACCCACGGTCCCGAACTATCTCGATGTTTCTATGAAGGAAGATATTATGAAGAGGGTGATTTGGTCCCTAGTGGGAACAATTGGTGTTCTGGGTTGATATGTAAGGATGGGAAGATGGTATCGTGGGAAAATTGTGAGGTGAAAATCGAAACCACCAACATACCTGTTACACACGCCAGTAAAGCAACCATTACCCAATCTACCATCCCTAGTTCTGTAACCAACCCCACTTCTGACAGTATAACTACAAGTAAACCCTCTGAAATGCCAACAATCCAAGGTCCCGAACGATCTCGATGTTTCTATGAAGGAAGGTATTATGAGGAGGGTGACTTGGTCCCGAGTGGGAACAATTGGTGTTCTGGGTTGATATGTAATGATGGGAAAATGATATCGTGGGAAAATTGTGAGGTGAAGATCGAAACCACCAACATACCTGTTACAGACGCAAGTAAAGCAACTGACTCAACCCTTACCCAATCCACCATCCCTAATTCAATAACCAAACCCACATCTGACAGTATAACTACCACTAAACCCTCTGAAACGCCAACAACCCACGGTCCCGAACTATCTCGATGTGTCTATGAAGGAAGGTATTATGAAGAGGGTGATTTGGTTCCGAGTGGGAACAATTGGTGTTCTGGGTTGATATGTAAGGATGGGAAGATGGTATCGTGGGAAAATTGTGAGGTGAAAATCGAAACCACCAACATACCTGTTACACACGCCAGTAAAGCAACCATTACCCAATCTACCATCCCTAGTTCTGTAACCAACCCCACTTCTGACAGTATAACTACAAGTAAACCCTCTGAAATGCCAACATCCCAAGGTCCCGAACCATCTCGATGTTTCTATGAAGGAAGGTATTATGAGGAGGGTGACTTGGTCCCGAGTGGGAACAATTGGTGTTCTGGGTTGATATGTAATGATGGGAAAATGATATCGTGGGAAAATTGTGAGGTGAAGATCGAAACCACCAACATACCTGTTACAGACGCCAGTAAAGCAACTGACTCAACCCTTACCCAATCTACCATCCCTAATTCAATAACCAAACCCACATCTGACAGTATAACTACCACTAAACCCTCTGAAACGCCAACAACCCACGGTCCCGAACTATCTCGATGTGTCTATGAAGGAAGGTATTATGAAGAGGGTGATTTGGTTCCGAGTGGGAACAATTGGTGTTCTGGGTTGATATGTAAGGATGGGGAGATGGTATTGTTGGAAAATTGCGAGGTTAAACTTCAAAGTACCAACCTACCTATCACAGACAACAGTAAAACAACCGGATCTGAACCTTCAGAAACCATCAGCCCTAGCTCTATAACCAATCCCACTACAAGTGAAGGTACCACTAACCCACCAGACTTAACCACTACATCTATAACCAACCTTACCACCCAAACTAAAGAAACCACTAATCCCCCCGAACTAGAACCGTGTTTCCACGAAGAAAAATACTACGAAGAAGGTATGGATGATAATGAAGTATTTTTAGATCTGAAAATATCGAACATTTATAATTTTTAATGCACACGTTGCGTACGTTATTCGAAAAAATGGAAATTTGCGGACAGAATAAATTGCTTTTACTTCACGCCGAAAGCTTTTTCTTTAAAACTGTACTGGAAAGTCAGAAGGTGATACGGTGTATCTACAAGTTTGCCTGTGATAAGTACAGGTTTTCTTTCTTTTTATGACCTATAACTTATTTTTAAACCTTAGTCGTGCTAACTGAATTGTTTTGTGTTCTAAAGCCTATAAAAATGAAATGAGGAAGATATTATGTAGCTACCTCACACAAATTTATAGCAGCTGTTGTTTTAATTCATCTTTTGTGAATATTTGTTTATTCGCCGATCAGAGTTGACGTCATCATTTTTCATTTGTATGGGAAAAACAACATTTACAAAAGCCCGTAAATCGCACCCTGTGTGTCCAAATAACGTGAAATGTTTGGTATAGACTAATTTGAGGACGAAAATTTCAATACTGGAGTCCATTTCTGCCAAACATGAAATATCGATAACGGAGAATATCCAGGAACCTTGCAACAAAGCTTAAGGTTTCCTAAATGTCCCTAGCCCGTAATAATGCTTGTAATACTTCAATTGCATGTATTTTTTTGTTAAAGGTGATATAATTCCCCGAGATTTCAACGGGGACAACTGGTGTTCAGGTTGGTACTGCAAGGGTGGGCAATTGATACCTGTGGACTGTGGTGATATTATATCCAAAGAAGACACTTCAAGTCCCAAATCAGTTTCCCCGCCAATAACTCGTGGTCCCGAATCATCCCTATGTTATCACGAGGGAAGATATTACGAAGAGGGTGACTTGGCCATGAGTGGAAACAATTGGTGTTCTGGATTGATATGTAATGACGGTGTAATGGTATTGTGGAACACTTGTGAAACTAAGCTTCAAAGCACTCAAACTCCTGGTGCAACTATACTCCCTAAGAGTACCTCAAAACAACCTGAAAGCACTCCCACAATCCCTACAAGCTCAACAGAGACTCCTGTTACAAAAACATCTAGTATACACCCTACTACGAAAACATTACCTTATACTACTAAAATAACTCATTCAAAATTCCCAGATACCACTGCAAAAACCTCTGTTAGTACGACTAATATCCCAGATACCACAACAAAAGCCCCCGATAGTACCACAATATTCTCCGACTCCACTACAAGAACCACTGATACTCCTACAAAACGCGAACAAACAACCCCTACGCAACCCCCACAAACAACAAAACCAGAAAAACAAAAATGCTTTTACGAGGGCGCACTTTACCCGCCCGGGGAAGTTACCCAAGGGGTTCTAGAAGACGGTCGGTGTTATGGAGTACTTTGCGACATCTCCGGTGTGATTATCCAATGGGTGACCGCCACCTGTACACGTACAGAACCACCCACGACTGAGATAAAGAATACTTTACCTGGGTGTGTTTATGGCGATAAGTACTATCCTCCGGGAAGAATAAGCCGTATATCAGACGACACCAGCTGGTGTTTAGATGTAATATGCACAGAAGAAGGTAAAATTGTGTCAATTAATAACATGAATTGTGACGAAGCAACGACCCCAAAGCCTACGACTGCGGCAACTACAAAACCCGAAAATACGTGCTTATACAATGGTATGTTGCTACGTTATACTTTTTTATTATATAGTAGAGAGTGAGATACTGAAAAATACACAGTGAGATATTTCCATATCTTCACTAGTGAAGATATCGATCACGTGACGTTTAGTATTTATACAATTTTTTGCTTGGGACTATATAAGAACAGAACATTACACGGTGGCTTGAAGATATGACTTTTATCTCGTGTTAAAAACAATATTTCACTCACTCGCTGCGCTCGTTCGTAAAATATTGTTTTCACCACTCGAAGATAAAAGTCATGTTTTCGCGCCGCCGTGTAATATCCTCTATATTATTATTTGCATGATAACATTTTAAAATTTGTGCAAGAATCATTTTCGCGGAATGGAAAAATGTCTTCTTGTGCATTTTTTTAGATTTTATTTGCACATTGCATGCGGCTCATCTATACTCGTTTTGCAACTGTGTAAAAATGAAAATTTTCTTTAAGACTGTTTCGATATTTAAAGGGTATAAGAGAAATGAAATTCAAGTCTGTTTGGAGAGAAAGAACTCGTTACACTGTGAAATAAGTTATTTTACAACTTTTCTTTACCGCTTGTCATTCTTGAGATATTTTAGTTTGTTGGATATGCATATAACATACATCTATGACGTCAGAAGCTCAGGGTAAAATATTTTAAAAAATGGTAGCCACGCCAAAGTCGTAAAAAGCTCAATGTTCAAAACAATCTTCTTAGCTACTTTGCCCAATCTTATGGCCTACGCTTTTATCATTCGCAAACATTTTACACAACTGCAACTAATTTCCCGATCAATGTTCAATACTAATGTTTTGAGACCGATCTTTCATTAACGATGACGTCATGACGTCATCACCACCGGACTTAACAACTATTCAAAACTTCTTAACTCGTTGTTATAAAAGAAGATATACATCAGAACAAATATAGATATTAATATACTGTTAGAGCAAATAGATAGAAAGCTGTTTGAAAGCTGTATAAACAAAACAATCATCCGTTAAGAGAAATCTGTCCAAAAATTAAAGAATATACAGTTAAACTTAGAACACAAGAGACACAGTGGCCAAACATTTCTACCGAGCGTTTTAAAAATAGTTTCATCAATAGATGTATTTTTAGATATAATTTAGCTATGCAATTTTAATATAACCTAAACATTTTTAATTTTAAAAACTTGTAATATATTTTAAAAATTGTTTTGTAACACTTGATATGTAATTTATCAATTGATTAATAATAATAATTAATTAAGTCAGAAGAATGACTTTTCTACAGTATAAGGTGTAAAACAGTAAAAACTCTTTGCACTGTTGTCAGTCGAACCATTTTTAGTCGAATTGAGTACTGATTTCAAAGTCGTAATTTATGCAGTTTTAATATGCTCGCACGATTACAATACATTTTAAACTCCCAGAGGTAATAAAATTGCTTGTCATAGAAGATTTGCTATCTTGCCAAACAAAAATTTTCCAACGGAAAACTTGCTTATGGAATCGGCTTAAGTTTCCCAAACTACCATATTTTTTATTTAAAAAAGCCTAAAATGAAAAGGAGAGCAAATAATTTTCATGAACTGCATATTTGGAATTAATTTCATTTCAAAGACTATTAAGTTATATATTTGGTATGTGTAATGTAGCCTAAATATATACATAAAATATTTTTGCCATTTTGTACAAAAAATTAAAAAATCGTTGTGTTACCATGACTACATTGACATCACTCTGACGTGAGCCAGAGATCACTCAACTGTACTAGCTGTGGCTATTGACATACTTTTTGTTGAAAAATGTTTGGCAAATATAATTGCTTGGTTAAAAAGACGATGGGTTACTGCATGTTAACTTCATACAATTATTAGGTATGATGTGAATTTTATGTGACAATCTGTTTAGGTATGAAATATTCTCCTGGCGTAATCAGCGAAGGAGTCGACGAAAATGGCTGGTGCTACAAAGTTGTTTGTCAAGAAAATGGAGAATTATACTTGTGGGGTGACTGGCATTGCCGGTATAGTCGAAGGTCAACCACCACAGCCCCCCTAGAAACGACTCCTTCAGCTCCTACGACATGCACGTACAATATGAAGGAGTATCCAGTCGGGGAAATCACCCGGGGGAATGATGCGTCTGGATGGTGCTATGGAGTGACGTGTAGAAACGATGGACAGATTGTGTTGTGGGGAAGCTTTACATGTCGCAAGGCGTAAAGCTTAAGTTAGAGGCTGTTTGTATGATTCCGCATTCCAGGACGAGATGTGAGGATTATTTTGATGTATTGAAATAAGTCACGGTACATGATTCAGCAAAAAAACTACATTATTTTTTAGTGATACTGATACATTATAGTTAGCTGTAAACAAATGGTTGTTGAAGCAGCAATAATAATCTTCTTCAACAAATGAATCTTCTCTACAACATTTGTGTTCTTTTACAGGTAAATCAACTTTTGAACTTTCGTTTAGCCCAGTGACTTATTTCAATACATCCACGCAAATCATCCCGCCTTCCATCATGTAAACGGCCCCTTATATATATAGAGACCACAAGTAGAGTGTAGTTTTAAAATTGCAATGGAATCCGTCTAACTTATTATATATAGTATGGATGATAAAATTAATGGATTACGCATGAAAATCTACAGTTCCCAAAGGGCATCGAGATAAAATTTTAGTTTCTCTAGTTAGTTAGAAAGAACTCGCAGTGCTTGCTTTGCAAGTTATTTTACACCTTATTAAACTTTTTCGTTTTTCAAATATTTTAGTTTGTCCGATATGTAAATAAACCGAATCCATGACGTCATAAGCAGGGTAAAAAAACTGCACAAATGTGTCTCACAATGACATAATCTAGCGATTCAAAGGAGTCCTCTGCTTATAGCGTGGGTATAGGTGATGTGCAATGCAAGATTCAACATGCTGATGTGGTGACGTGGTGTTTATGAAATTAAGAATTTACTAAACAACGCCAGCTGCTTGCCGTATAGTATAAGCTAAATACCGGCTTACTCTATAATTGAAGCGGCATGTAAAAATTGTTTATAGCTATAGTAAGACAAGACGCAAACACAGGAGAAAATAAACATGCAGATAGCTAAAAGTCTTTCACTTCGTAAGAATGCATGAATACTGTCGAATGCCTTATATTTCCCAGATATATCTCTAAAAAAATTCCCGCTTGAAAATTATTATTGCATTGTAATATTGCTGATGTCTTCTACAGTGATTTAACCTGTGGTCATGCGCATATATTACATACTAATACAGAGCCTAAAGGCGGATCTCCACTAGACGATTTTTGAGACGATGTTTATGATGATCGTCATAAAAATTCGTGATGATTTAGAGACAAGTGGAGATGTACTAGCAGCAAGAAAAACAGCGTGGAATCGTATTGGTTGAAAATATGACGATCGTCAAGCGCTCGACGAAAAGTAGAACTAGTTTCTACTTTTCGTCGAGCGCTTGACGATTCTTGACCATCTCTTTTACGATAATTTATTTCCTACTGCGCATGTTCGTGGCGAATTTTTCAGACAATCGTTATAAAAAATCGTCTAGTGGAGATCCGCCTTTAAGGCGGATTTCCACTAGACGATTTTTGAGACGATGCGCAATTGAAAAAAAATGTTCAAAGAGCAATCGTCTAGCGCTCGACGATAAGTGGGATTGACTTCTACTTTTCATCGAGCGCCAGACGAATGCCAAATTTTTAACCAAAATTTCCGCTCTTTTTTTCTTGCAGCTAGTGCATCTCCACTTCTCTCTAAATCGTCGCGAATTTTTATGACGATCGTCGTAAAAATCGTCTCAAAAATTGTCTAGTGGAGATCCGCCTTAACACAAGTCTTGATCCGGTCACTTTCCACCCGCACTATAGTTTTGTATTTAGTATATCCAATCAAAATGTCCCAGGAGAGATTTCAATGTTATATAAAACAACGACAATCTAATAATAGTTACAAGCACTAAATATATCTTTATCTATTTAGCATTAACCGATCAAAATGATACAAGCTGGAAATAGCCAATCAGAGCCACATCCGTACAGGTGGTTGTGGGACACGAACTTTTTAATTAAAATAAGATTTGTATCAGGCTTTCATTTTTCTTCGACTGCACGCCGCGAGAAAAATAAAGGCCTGATTGGAGGTTAATGATGATTAAGTGCGATAATTTTTTTGCATCGTTTTTAAGTAGTATAGCCAGGTGACTCGCATAATTTAAGACCGACATTACATGTACTGGCGGCGCCCATATTAGCATACAAGTTATTGTAAGAATATATAGTTCGCTATCAAGTTGTCCCTATATAGCTAATTTGGATTTTCCATTAATAATTTACATTCAGTTTCCAAAATACCTGCTGAAAGTTTTATATATAGATGTACGTTGCGTGATAAGCGTTCGTTAGTCACTACTCTTCTGGACAATAAACACAAAAATGGCATCGCTCACATTTTATGCAGTTTTAGTCATATTTTTGAACGTAAAAGTCACATTACAAAAAGTAGCGTTTCATTCAGGTGCAAAGAACGTTAAAATTGCGAATTTTTTTCGTATACGTGGCTATAGACTCGCTGTCTCTCCGTTTGGAAGTTTAGCACTTCCAGACGAACTGAAATGTTTAACCACTTGTGTTAAAAGTGATGAATGTTACTGTGTAAATACGAAGAAGCATCAAAATGAAACTGTGATGTGTGAGTTGCTTAATCACAACATGTATCACTATCCTGAGAAGTTAACAAAAAGCGAAGGCAGTTCTCATTGGTATACTAAGGTAAGATATTATTGAAGCTTGACACGCACGCAAAAATTTCTCCTTGACGAGTAAAATGTTGTGTATTAAGCCTAGTTTCCATTTGGTCGTTATTTGTCGCTGGCACGACAAGTGGCTGATGTAATAGAGTGTCAACAAAAGTTTATAAAACTCTGCAATCATTAAGACTGATTTGCATATAACACACAAAAAGACTATTTGATATTAGACTATTTCACATCTACCGCTTGTCGTGCCAGCGATAAGTAACGACCAAATGGAAACTAGGCTTTAACATCTAAAGGTCGAGACACAGCGCACGCGATTCGGCAATGCGGCGCGATTTTCATTGACCGATACCCTGGATTCCAGGGCCTTCGACAGTAAATAATAAATTGAAACGTCGCGAAGGCTCTGGTTCAACGGGGAGATTCTTTGATTAAACCGCGCCAATCACAAAACAGAATTAAACCAGAACCTTCGTTGAACCAGAGCCTTCGCGACGTTTCAATTTATTATTTACTGTCGAAGGCTCTGGAATCCAGGGTAACTGACCGATAACTTTGATCCTAATTTTTCCAAATTAGAAGCGCTATTATATTTTGACTTATTTGGTCTACATATCTTTTTAAATATGTTTTTACTGGCTGTTTTATTAACTTTCAAAAACTGTGTCGTGTGTCTCAGCCTTAACGATTAAAACTGATGTTGCGCATCAACCAAGATATCGGTGCATGCCGCATTTTAATTTCCGGTCCGTCTAACCCCACATGATTCTGCTGCTACTAGCCATTAAGGAAAGTTTTGCGTATATAATTTTTGTTTGTGGAAAACGCCTTGTACAATATCTATCATTGAAATATTTCGATCCGTTAGCACGGATCTTAATGAGCAGATCGAATTATTTGCAATATATAAATATCGCTGGTGCATTCTTTCCACATTGAAAGAAATTCGCATTATTGTTATTATTATTAGCATGACAAAATTACTGCATGGATGCTGATTGGTTGAGAGGAGTACGGGCGGAAACGTATTTTAAACTCAAGCGTGAAATGAAATTGCTGTGGAGGAACTAGATGAAAATACGAACACAAGCACCAAATTTTGCTTTAACAAAAGAACTAATTGAAAATACAAACAAAAGCACCAAATTTTGGTTGAAAGTCTGGCAGGACTGGGCTTTGGCGAGAGAATATGATGTTGACATTGAGAATTCTCGCCCCGGCGGCTCGTCCAATTTTGGCAAAATTTCCAAACATCACTCGTACTATTAATCCCTAATTGTACTCGCAATCGCATGATTATACCTATACTAATTTGAATGCCCGAGTCTTATACTAAACCCATGGGTACGTAAACACAATTTTATCACAATTTTATCCATTTTTACATTGAATCGAATTTTATGCATGACAAGTTATTTAAAAGTTTTTTAACTTCAAGTAGAATTTTCATGTACAATTTCGGCAGTTTCAACATGCTCGTATACGATTACAATGCATTTTAAACTTCCAGCGGAGGGCAGAGGTATATATAGTGAACTTTGGGCCTACAACAAAAGGGTGACTTATCAGAGGTATATCCTGGTTTATTTGTCCAAAATACGAAATCTTAAAGCATTCAAATTATTTTAGAGAAATGTGCGAAGAACCTTTTAATTCGACTTAATTCAACTTAATTCAACTTACCAACATCCACGAGTCTCCTCAAATATATTACTGCTTTGCTCGGGAGAATGATTTAACTAATCTGCATCTGAAAACAAAATTTGAATGAAAACTATAAGAAATAATCTCAATGTCCAATGATGCCTTTAATGAAGCTACAGCATGCGCATATTACGTGCATATTAATGAGTTGATGGGATTTAAATATATGGTTAAAATTTATAAAAATTGGTAAATTACAAATATCATGCAATTTATTTTGTCCCTTTAACCATCCTCGGTCCCAGGGCCTCACGGCTGACACTGCGTTGCCGCCAGCCGTGAGGCCCTGGGACCGAGGATGTCCCTTTAACTTAAGTACACACAGTGTATACTGAAGGTTGTCCTATATGAATAACATCAATCGAACTCATGACCCCGTAACAGTGACTGAAAATTATCCCACTCCAAGGTCCCGGCCTATACTGCATATACCATGTAATATAGTTCAAACAGCAGAAAAACTGTTAATAAAAGCAAACCTACATACAGAATTACTACTTCAATATCAAGTCGACTTGAGAGGGAGCAGGAGGAAGGGGTATTTTCTAAATAGGCACCATGCATCAAGTTTCGGGGACCTATACTATATGTTTGGGTTCTATTCTGAGGCATGTTCACACCCTTCCGCATATTCTCCCACAAAAAAAAAACTATCATGAAAATAAGTTTCAGCCATCTTCCAGAACTGACGTTATGGGGACTTGACGAGAAGTCCCCATAATGCACAAATTCTTGCACAAGTTTGATTGCCACATTACCCAGATTGATTTGTTGCCACATGTTTTACACATTTTATACACTTAACCTGTATAATGCCACTGTGGAATGTTCTATTAGCTACTTACTCTCTTTAAGGTTACAGAACACCTTTGAGTGTTGATTTTGCCTAAATTTTTTTTACTGGTTTCCATAAAAGCATTAGACTGGTTCTACTATCTGACCATGTTTGAACGAAAAATTTTGAAAACTCGCAGAGTTATTTAATAAAATACATTTCGCTGTAATAAGAAAAACATTGAAAATGTAATATTCAAATTCAATTTTCTCCCGAAGAATTTTACGGCAATTACTGATTTTCAAACGAGTTGTTCTCCTGCGGGTTTTAACGAATTGTTCTCAAATTTTCACAGGACATAGCTATACAGACGTCAGTTTCAAAATTGTGTTCGGTTTTTTTCTAATTTTGAATATTTTAATAATAAGGAGCAATTCACTCAAGCGATTCAGAAATATATTGCAGTCGTCAAAGAAATTGCCATATCAGCGGAATGACAAAATAAACTAAAATTTCCGAACACTATTTTTCAGAACAACTATTTTATTGTAAAAAAATTATATTTTCATAAATATATCTTAAAACCAGCAGGAACATAACTCAAAAGCGTAAAGGTACTGTGATTTAAGATTTTCCTGAATAATTTTTGTGGCTAGCCCGTTCGCGGGTAGACTTGCTCCAAGTCTCTCTTTGTGGAGACCCACTATATTGTACGTTACATGACGTACCGCTGAGGGGGAGAGGAGGAAAGAGAAGAGAGACTTGTAACATCTGGCAAGCAGACATACTTCCGGCTGGTCAATTTCGACCAGCCGGAAGTAGATGGCAGCATTGACTTATCACGTGTTTAGGGGGGGAAGGCGACATTTCAGAGTTATTTGTTTAGCGCGAGTAATTTTGTATTCACGAGATTTCTTGTAGATTTCACATCACTTTTGACTGCGTGCATTTGGAATTTTGGGCATTATTTTTGCAATTTATTGTAAACAACGATTATAAGAAGAACGGATAAATTACAAATCAGCCGTATTAATCGTCATAAACCTCGATGACCACCAGGGTTTTGTGTTTGACAATTTATATTTCATTAGATATTTATATGCAAGGTCAGTATAAACGGGTTATCATATAAAACGATCATTCTAATGAATTGATAAAACGAATTATATCTAATATGTACGGCCGCGTTTTTTACACGGCCACTACTGAAGCGTTTGGCTTGATTGTTGAATAAATCGATGAC